TCGGTTATCCTTTCTCATCCTCACCCACACAATGTCTCGTTCTTTGGAGCCTTGCATCCGGTTTAGGTCATAACCGCTGATGTGAGTGCGTTGATTTCCTTTTTTCCATTAATCACAAAAACCGCAATCCTCGCATCTTTCAAGTCGCGACCAGACAGAAGGTCACACCATCTTGGCATTCATATCTATAATATTATTATAGTTTGCATTTATAAGACATTTCACTCATCCTATTAGCAGTTTTCATTATCTAACCACGACTAGTGATTACTGGCTTGTAGTGACGACACTATTCTCATTCAATGATAAGTTTTTCGTTTATAAGTATAATTTCTAGAATGATAGCAAATCCGTAATGAGATGTATTCCCTGAATTTCGTTTAAAGTGAATTTTCCCACAATGATATGAGTAGAGCTCATATATATGATTTACTAGTAGTCCCGAAACTCTATTTATAAATGAAAAATAACTAGTTTAGTCTATTGTCATAGCAAATAAGCCTTTGTTGCATCGTCAATCCCATCAAAGAATGTGATATGGGAAAGGGCGTGGTCTTCAGTATAATTCACATCTGCCTTGTGTTCCAAGGGCACTCGTGGCAGTGAAGCCGAATGATTACAGTGATTACCCGCTATGAACCGCCGAGTTTAGACTTTTCTATTCCGCGTCACATTCAATAATTGTCTTTCTGATGGCAGCCTCATTCTGTGTTTCAGCCGTTTCTAAGTAGGGAGCTTGGTAATACCATTGTTCCTTTCTCTCTTCCAACTTTGGAATTATAGAGCGCAAGTGGTTTATATTTTAGAGACAGTCCACATCCGTTCAAAACACAAAAATTTGATGCCCTTGTAGGCTCTTTAGTTATTCGATTGGGCTCAATTAAAAAATGATCATAATCAAAAGAAGATTAACTCAAGTTAGTCAAACATTTTCTAAAAAATCTAAGTAATGGATGTTAAGCCAGGCAGATCTCATCAATGTATTCAAATTTGAAGAAAAAAAATTATTTTGAGTAATAAAAATATGGATGGGCGGATGGAAAATACATACCGAAACCAGCCGGCGTGGAATGGAATCTCAATAGGATTGAGGCCCAAATAGTCTAGTGGCCTTTCAGATCGATTCCCGGAAGATGGTGTGGTTGGGTCTTTTAATGACTTTAGACAGTCTTCGCAACACTTGTGTTCATCTAAAGTAATCATTAAAAATAAATACAATCATAACAACTATTTGTGATCTTTTAAAATTAATCTCGACCATACTAAATAAAAAATAACTGAAATAGACACTTAGAACGTTTGGCCTCTAATACTTATTCTAACCATGTCGCATGTAGTAAAAGACTGATACTTGAATTTTCCCAGTGAAATGAAGTCTCGCGATGCCAGTGAATTACATTTAGCCAGAAAGGTAGAAGGCGGATCCTACGGAGCAAAAGGGAGACTCTGATAAGACCTATCGGAAGAGGATCGTGGGGAGAGGGGATGAGAAAGCCAGCGTGAGGTTTGGGGAGTTATCGTGAAATCCGCTATAAAAAGGGCACACCATGCCAATAAGTTGTGATAGTGAAGGATTGATACGAGGATATATTATTGTTGAATATCCCAGAGCCGGAAAGATGCCACAATTGTTTAGCAGAAAATTGGTCAAAGAATCGGCTTCACTTATCGCTTTGACGAGTTGTAGTGTGGTGCTAAGAATGGCAAATGTCACTGGCGATGCCGGCAAAGCGTATAGGGATGTAATACGTCCACGGTCCGACTCCGGAAATTATCATGCATACTATGGACTCAGAACTAGATGCGTTCCTCTAGGTCTTCTTACCAATATGACCAAGTTGCGAAAACAAGTTCAGACAGCTTCTATACATTTAGCCTTGTTTGTCTCCCATAGGGTATTCTTATGCAAAGTGAACTTTAATTTCGACCTAGCCTATATCTCAGTACTCTCAAAGGGAGTTTAGCCTGAGTAGTGCAACGTATAAGTTCGAAATTTCCATTTCATCAAACTCCCATGAATATAAGTGATTAACAGTGTAGAAGTGAATTCCCATGCGTGCCAGGCCTCTAATATAAAATTCAGTGGTAATATGCCGAGATTATGCACCGCACTACTTAAGTTTGATGTCTGTTAGAGGAACTGAGACTAAGGCTAAGTTGAAACGGCTATCCCTCCTAGAGAAAAACGCTTGCTTGGGGGCAAGATTAAGTTAAATCCACTGGCAACATGAGGCTTACTCATATCGTTAAAAGAATTCAACTATAATTCCTTCATCCTCCTATGTAACAGTGATAAATTCCTGATCAAGATCTATTGAAATTCTCAAAACCTGCTTAATATGAATATAACTTTTGGCTCTGTTGCTTGATAAAATTGATCTTAATTTTTGGACATTCTATTTATTATGAAAATTGATATAGAAGTTGCATAGAATTTATATAACCTAGCTAGACATTAATGAATTTGAATAGAAAAGAATAGCAATTTAAAGTTATTTCTTGCGTCACGGGCCAAAGTAATGTGCAAAATTCCAAATATACTATTTTTAAATCCATAACATGTAAATCATGAATCAGGAAAGAAGGTTCATTATTAGTATTAAGCGCAAACACACCATAGACTGGAATCGGACGACCCCGAAACAGAGAGTCAAGGTACGGTACAAGGGAACCGGCCATTTCATCTGATTTGACCTCGCTCGCAGCTGGAGGGAGATTGAGAGATACCACTCCAGCCGGCAGAGGTTGGTCGAGTAGTTGATGCCGTGTTAACTGAGTGTGAGGTCCAGGCTGATGGCCACGTCTGGGATGGTGACGACTATGTCCATGGTGTTTGTGATGATGATGCTGCTGCAGCTGGCCAATATCGCTAATACTAGCATTTACAACTGGCACTGGTGCCACCTGACCACCTGTGTGCCGAGTCCGACGCCTGCCCCGTGAAGGAGGACCGGCAGGGACTGGAATTGACTCCAAAGGGCCACCAGCCAAAAAGTTGTCACCTTTTACAGAGGAAGTCGAGGAACTCCCGACGCCAGTGTCATCAGTAGCAGTAGCTGTTTGGACCACTTCGACACCGTTACAAGCCATGCTGAAGCAGCGCACACCACCCGCCAGTGCTGTCGTTTGGGTTTGGTGAGCACCTGTGGCTGATTTACGAGCACAAGGCTTTTTGGCGGCATCCTTAAGAGCTTGGAAGATTGAATAAAGGGTGAATAATAGGAGTAAAAGGTAAACAAATTGACAGTCAGTAGTTATTACAAATAAATAATTAGTATTTAGTGCCGGATATGGGTGTGTGAAGATAGGATAACTAAGCAGGTCACTAATGATGAGATAATATGCCTTAAAATAATATAAAATAGTA